GTGTCCTCACTGCACTCGACGCCCACTCCGCTCGTGTGGCGCGACGGATTGGCCGCTAAAGATAACAGCGCCTCAGTGAGCGCTGTGATTGGCTGGTGTTCTCTTGGACATGACGTTATGCTTACTCTCTCCACACACACACACACTCACTCACACACACACGGAGAGAGAGAGACAGGGGCTCTGAGTGAGAGGGAAGACGTAATGGTTTGAGTCCCCGTACGTCTGCCATGGTCGTCGACCTGACATTACTCGGTAAATTCCTCGGACGGGAGGCGCAATGAAGGTACGTGAATCTGAGCTGCACTTCCGGTTCGGTTCGGTTCGTTTGTGGGCCTGCTGTTTTAAGGCTCTATATATATGTGTGTGTGTGTGTGTGTGTGCACCAAGCTGCACTGAGGCGCAGAGGAGAACCCGCGGTCGGTACTGTCACCGAGTCCGCTCCGTGTGCACTTGGTTCCAGTCTCACTGCAGGAGCAGATATTTTTTAATCCGAATTCTTCCCCTTGTCATTCCGGTGGTTGCGGCTGTGAAGCATGTAGTGAATCCGACAGAAGAAGAAGAAAAAAAAAGAAAAAAAAACCCTCGCAGCCGCGCAAGGTTGTGCTGAACTGCAGGTAGAGTTCGATGCCCGTTAATGAGCCTGGTTTGACCCTGGTCGTGATACTTCAGTGGACTCTAAGCTGCTGGAGCGACGTCCATTCACCGTCAGGCTGTAATCCTCTTTAATGAGACGGTCAGAGAGGGGGGGAGAGAGTGGGGGGGAGAGAGAGAGAGAGTGAGAGAGAGTGAGTGTCCACGCAGGGATACACTCACGGAGGAGGAGGAGAAGAGAGGTTCGGATCTCCGAGCTGCGTGAGTCTGTGGTGGTTCCCCCGGAGTCTCCTGCCCCTCAGTGCGGTGAGACCGTGATGCAGTATGATGGTGATGATGATGATGATGATGATGATGATGAAGATGAAGATGATGGTGGTCGTACTGGTGTGAACCAGATGTTAGTAGTGAAGGTGATGGCGATGATGTCATCGTTGAGCTGGCAGCAGGTTCCACAGGAAACATCGTGAGCAAAACTACACTTTGTGCGTCCGCGTGCATGTGTGCGTGCGCGTGTTATTCCGTGGTTCGTGGGTCAGCCAGGACTCCAGAGGTGAAGTGTGACGTCATGAGGAACCAGCAGCAGCAGCAGCAGGACCGAGGGTTCCTGCGGCACCCGCTGCTAACGGCGACCGTTGGTAGAGCATTTCACGTTAGCGTTAGCGTAAACAAACGGCATGTAGCGCCCCCTGCTCCTTAAGACAACCTGCTCCATGACGGTAGGAGATAATGTTACTGCTGCAACATTAAAGTTTGATATAAATGGATTAAAAATAAGTTAATTTTCGCGTTGATAACACTTCATATTCCGCCTTTTCCAGGAAGCGGCTAAGCTAATCGTTAGCATAACAGTCTTTGTTTTTACCTTCAAATTCACTCTTTGAGGTTGGTCTACATCACAGGACCTTCAACACAGCTTTCCTTTTGTATTTAAAATTATTTATTTGATTGATTGATTTATTTATTTATTGTAATCATTTAAAAGTTGACATTGTGCTGGATTTGGCTACTTTAACTGTAGCACTTGTTTGATTGGTTGGTGTTTTTACTGTTGTTTTATTGCCAGAAAGGTCACAAAAATTTAAATCTAAGAATTTAGCAGGTGTCTACGTAGTGGAAGAGTGGTCAGTGCTCTGGCCGTACAGTAAGAATGTAACTGGTTTGATTCCCGCTGGTAACTGATAGTAATCCTGTATGAGTTCATTGTTCACGTTAAGAGTCGACCCGAGGTGTGAATGTGAGCGTGAATGGACACTTTACTTTGGAGTTGTTTATTGACCTTTGACCTGAATCCATGCGGCACACGGCTGGTATCGCTACACTTTTTTTTTTCCCGAATCCTCTTACAGTTTAATTTTCCCTGTGGCGACGCGTGATGACATCATCACAGACACAAACATTAATCTGATGCTGAGATGATGATCCTCCGCTGAGGCCCAGTTAAAGCTGAGCTTTAGTTTCTGTCTCCACTCACCAACCCCCGTCTCCAGGGGGACACGTCCTGGTCACGTTGTCTTCTGTCCTCCGAGAAGACTGACGGCAGAAATGAGTCCAAAACTTGGGACTGTGGGCTGGTTTTCATCCACCGGGCTGGACGTGAGGTCCTTGAGCTGCAGCGCCACCTCTGAGTCACTGCACATGATTAGGATTTAATGTGTAATTTCCATGAACATTTGCATTAATTATCAGAGACGTATGACCAAAAAAGAGCCTGTAAATTATTCAGGTCTTAAATCTCTGTCTGTGAGTCGGGACAGAAAGAGGATTCAAGCAAAGTGAACGGAGGAAATGAAATGTGGAGGAGAGACAGATGTAGAGAGAGAGAGAGGGAGAGGGAGGGAGGGAGAGAGAGGGGAGAGTGAAGGGCTGACAGCTGTTTACCCCCTGGTCTCTACCCACTACTGCCCCCTGTTTTGCATATGTTGTGCCTTTGTATTGATTGTTATCTGTTGGCTGCAGATGTGGATGATGATGATGATGATGATGATGGTGATGATGATGATGATGATGAGGATGGTGGTGGTGATAAGTCAGACTGTTGACTTTTAGTCCTTCATTTACCAACAAAGTCATTTGGCGTTCACACATAAAAGCGATATTCGCAGATTTTTTTTTTTTTTTCCGCTTCCTCACTTCCTGATCCAGTCCTGATCCAGTCCTGATCCAGTCCTGATCCAGTCCTGATCCAGTCCTGATCCGGTTCTTCCGAACACCTTGGTCTGGACTCAGACATGCTGCTCCTCACTGATCACAAATTATTTTGGTATTTCCTCAACTCAGTCGATTGTTTTTCTTGTTCTCTGTTGTCTAGACTCCCCCCCGCCCCCCCGCTCCTTCCCCCAGGTGATGGGTGTATGAGGGTGGGGCTGCCTCACCCGTCTCCCTCCCAGGTTTCCCAGAGGGAGACGACCGCCGAGGGGCG